AAAGGGGCCCTGAATGGGGTCCAGAGGTGCCCCCCTCGAGGCCCCAAGGTGTGCGAAGAGTGCACGTCTCTTCCCCCGCTGTTCATTGCCCTCCCCCTCCATTGAGTACCGCCCCCCCCCTCCGCGCCCGCGCCGCTCTCTGAGCCCCCCGCCCCCCGCCCCCCTCCCTCCCGAGGCCCGGACGCCGACCACGCCGGTGGTCACGGACCTCGCGACGGCCCGCCTGGGGAGGGCGGGTGGTCTCTTCTCTCCTCATCACTACCAAGGGCACCATCGGCATCAGCATCATCAGCACCATCATCATCATCATCACCAACATCATCATCATCATCATCATCATCATCATCATCATCATTATTATCATGATCAGCATCCTCATCTTCATCATCAGCACCATCATCATCATCATCAGCGTCGTCGTCACCACAATCATCACCACCACCGCCAACATCATGATCACCATCATCATCACTACCACCAAAAGCACAATGGTTACCACCACTACCAAATTCATCATCATCACCATCAGCATCATCACCATCATCAGCATCAGCATTATCATCTTCAGCATCATCAGCATTCTCATCATCATCGTCGTCACCATCGTAATCATATCCTCACTATCGTCATCAATATCATTATCATCAGAATCAGCATAATCATCATCATCATCAGCATCACCATCACCATCACCATCATCATCATCATCATCATCATCATCATCATAATCGTCATCGTCATCGTCAGAGTCATCGTCGTCGTCATATCAGCATTATTATAGTCATAACCATCATCATCATCATCATTATAAGCATAATCATGATCATAATCATAATCATCATCAGCATCACCATCACCATCACCATCATCATCAGCACCATCATCATCATCATCATCATCATCATCGTCATCGTTGTCGTCGTCATCGCCATCATCATCATCATCATCATCATTACCATTTTTGTTAATATCCTTTATTGCCAGCATTGCTTCGTCAACATCGACATCAACATCAACCTCATCAGCATCACCAGAAGCAGCACATCATCAGTAGCATCATCACCATCATCATCATCATCATCATCATCATCACCATCATCATCCCCATCAGTATCAGCACTGCCATCAGCGTCGTTTTTGTCATCATAATCGTCAGCTCCCCTTCTACTCCGTTCCTCGCGAACTGGTCAGTATTGTTCACTCGCACTCAAGCTTGCACAAGTCGTGCCGCCAGTCCTCTCATAGTTAGGTCGCCATCATCGTCATCACCATTGTCAGCATGGACAGTAAGAGCAGCATCAGCCTCGCCATCAGGATCATCATCAATGCGGGTCGCTGCGGGTCCGCTTTCGTCTTCGTCGCTGCTGTCGGTCGCTGCCGTCGGTCGCTGCCGTCGGTCGCTGCCGTCCTCGGGGCCGCGCCGTTCCGCTGCCCAGCGGGCCGCCTTCGCCGCCGCCTGGCGGCAGCCCCGCCACCGGGGCTCGAGTTTCGCGCATTTGGCTTGGAGGATCGAGGGACTCGAGGCTCGAGGGACTTGCGGATCGAGGATCGCGGATTCGATGATCGAGGATCACGTGTTTGGGTCTCGAGGGTCGAGGGATCGAGGTTCGGGAGCCGATGCCCCCAGAGTGCTGGGATGACCGCGGGGGTTGCTCAGGTGATGGGGGGGTCATGAGGGGATGCCAAGGTGGTTACATCTGGCCCGACCTGGCTTATGCATGGATTACGTGTGTCCCAAGTGGCTTGGGGGTTAGCGATCGCGGCTAAGTGGTCTCCGCCCACTTCGTGGATCTACCTTACCCTCCTAAGCCACTTGGGGCACTTGTAACCCACTCATAAGCCAGGTTCGGCCAGATGTAACCGCATTGGCATCCGCCTTTAAGCCCCCTTTATCCCCTTAGCACCCTCCGCGGTCATCCCAGTAAGCATCCTTTGGATTGGCGATCCGGCGGTGGGGACGGCGACCCGGCAGCGAGGGCGAGGGTTTGACAGCGAGGATTGGTAATCCAGTAGCGGTTAGCGGCGACCGAGCTCCAGGGAGATGCGGGCTCTGGGGGTTCCCCCTCGGCCCTCCTCCCTCCTCCGTTCGCCTCTGTCCCTCTCTTCCCGGGTTCCTCCTCCCTCTGTTCCTTCACCCTCCTCCCTCCGTTCCCTCTCTCTTTCTCCCCCTCTCCTCCCTCTCCTCCCTCTGTTCCCTCCTCTCTCCTCCTCTCTCCGTCTCTCTCCTCTCCTCTCGTCCCTGTAGTTATGCTCCCTTTCCTTTCTCCCTTTTTTTCTACCTATCTCTCTATCTATATATACCCATATATAGTGCTTCCAGGTTTCGATTACCATTTACCACCAGCAGCAGTCGACCTCGAAGCTCGCACATCCGAGGTCCAGCCTCCACTTTCCGACTTCCAGCTCCCACATTCCAAATTCCACCTCACCTTCCGACTCCCAGTCTCCAGCTTTCGACCTCCAATTCCCGCGTGTCCGATTTCCGGCTTCCACCTTGCGACCTCCAGCTTCCGCACCAATTTCCATCTTCCACTTTCCTACTCCCAGTCTCCAGCTTTCGACCACCAACTCCCACCAGCAGCAGTCGACCGCAAAACCTTACGCGTCCAGCCTCCAGTCTCTACCTTCCGACTTCTAGCTCCCACATTCCAATTTTCACTTTACACCTTCCGACTCCCAGTCTCCGGCTTTCGACTTCCAGCGCCTTCCAGCAGCAGTCGACCTCAAAACTTCATTTGCCAAGCTCCCAGCCTCCACCTTGCGATCTCCAGCTCCCGCACTTCGACGTCCACCGTTCACCTCCCGACTCCCTCCAGCTTTCGACCTCCTGCTTCCTGTGCGCAGTACGGTTTGCACACTGGCGGAAGAGTGCGACCAAGCCTCTCGGACACCGACGCCAGATCGCGAACACTCTCACCTGCGTCTTCCCCTTCCTCACCTCCCCGCGCCGACTTCGACCACGAGCTCTCAGGGCTATGGCCCCAGAGCGCTGGCCTGATAGGCCCCGCCCTCGGCGTTCACCGTCGCGCTCGCTCGCTCTCTTTCCTTCCTCTGAGGCACGGTTAGGTGGGGATAAGTTCAGGCTGGAATGCATCGACCCCCAATCGCACATTCATGGGTGATGGACCCTGATAGCCCACCTCGCTCAGGAAGGTGCGGACTCTGTATCGGGGGCCTATTGCCGATCTATCGCGGATGTATCGACGATTGCAGGTCGATGTATCCCCGCTCTGAGGTGGTCTCCCCCGAGCGTTGCCCCTCAACCATTACTCAATCTGATCTCTGCGCTCCTCTCTCTCTGAAGTAGTCCGAGGCGTGGCTCCGCCTCTCGGCGTATTGTTTTCTAACATGATTTCATCATTGCTTTTCGTTTGTTTTTACACTCCGATTGTTTTCGGTTTCCAGAATTCCCCAACCAGTGCTTGCACTTATGCTTTCTTATTTATTCTCTAAGGAACTGGGCTCCGTTGTCTGGTCCGCCGCCCTGTGGTCGCCGTTGCTGTCCCGTCGCCGCCCCGTCGCCGCTCGTCGTCTGGGCTCCGTTGTTGGGTCCGCTGCCTTGTGGTCGCAGTCGCCGCCCCGTCGCCGCCCCGTCGCCGCCGCCTCGTTGCACCCCCACACAGTTGCAATCGAATCGTTGCAATCCAATCGATTGCAATACAATCGCATTACAATCGATTGGAATAGCCCGTTTGCGGCCCCGTTTGCGGTCTCGTTGCCGCCCGTCGCCGCTTTCCCGTTACACTCTTCCGTTGCAGTACAGTCGCGTAGCATTGCAATCGCATATAATTGCATTGCAGTCGCATTGCAATCGTATTGCAATCGCATTGCAATCGCATTGCAAGCGCATTGCAATCGCATTGCTTTACATTGTTTTGCTTGCTCTGCCTTGCTTGGCATCGCGCTAAGTGGTTTTTGAATGCTTTGCATTGCGTTGCATTCCTTTGCTGCTTTGCACTGCTCTCCATTGCGTGGCCTTGCTTTGCATTGCTTCGTTTCGCTTTGCAGTGCTTTGATCTGCTTGGCATTGCCTTGCATGGCTTTGCATTGCTTTGTATTGATTTGCATTGGGTTGCGTTGCTTTTCGATGTTTTGTATTGCTTTGCCATATTTCGCATGCTTGGCATTGCGCTGCATTGCATTTTTTGCATTGCTTTTCTTTGCTTTGCATGGCTTTGCATTGTGTTGCATAACGCTAATTTGCTTTGCATTGCTTTTCGTTACTTTGCCTTGCTTTGTATTGCTTTGCATTGCGTGGTATTCTCTGGCCTAGCTTTGCATTGCTTTGCATTGTTTTGCTTTGCTTTGCATTGCACTGCATTGCTTTACATTGCTTTGGATTGCTTTGCATGGCTTTGTTTTGCTTCGCATTGTCTTGCATGGCTTTGCATTGCTTTGCATTGCTTTGCACTTGGTTGCCTTACTTTGCATCCATAGGCATTAATATTCTGCACATGTATTGCGCCACATATATGGCACCACGTACATTGCTCCACATAGGTTGCATCACATACGTTGCACCACATGTTTTGCACCGTATAGTTGGCCCCACATGTATTGCACCACGTTTACTGCTCAACATAGATTGCACCACTTAGCTTGCACCACATTCTGCACCACATTTAGCCTCCTTTCCAAGAAGAGTTTAGGATCTACCGCCCGTATCTGTATCCCCTCCCTGGGATAGTATGATTTACATTTAATTTTGCCCCATCGTTTATTCAAAATCTGAATGCGTATCATCCCAGCCCAACCCATCATTGACCCTTCCCTCATCCTTGTCAAAGAATATTATGGCGGCGCTCATTTGACAAACACTCAGTTTTCGATAATCCCTTGCAAACAACTGGGGCAACGTCCACACGCGCGCCGCGTCGCGCGTGCATGCCGAAATCCATCAACATCTTCGGTTACGTATGCGTTTCAAGTTCGATGTTTCCGAAATACAAACCCGTGGTTTTGCAATTTGATTAAACATGTAGTCGCGCGCTCTCTTGCGACTTCTTTCGGCAATCGTAAGATCTTCACCATGTCCTTCAAGTGTGACCAAGCGGGCCTCTCGCGCGAGCATGTCGAAATCATTCGAAGGCCCTTTCGCGCGTGCTGGAAGGGGGGGGCACGATCCCCATCGATTAATACCATGCGGGTACTCGCGCCCGTCGGCCGCGCGCGCATGTCGAAATTCTCCCAACACATTTATCGCTGAACCGCACCATCAATTTCATCGGCATGATCAGCATCGGTGCCATCATTGGCCTTGCCGTCGACATTGTCATCATCGTCATCCGCATCGCTACTATCATCATCGTGTCTGCCGTTGTCGACGTCGCCATGATGCCGCGCCCGCCCGAGTCACCGACTCGCACTGAAGTGCCCGCGCGTCAGCGCGGCCTGCGAGACGCGCTGGGGAGTCCCCAGCGGGCAGCACCACCGCGGCCGCGCCGGTCGCGCCACACTAGCTTGTCGCTCTGCGCGCGAGCCTGCGCGCGCTAGCGCGGCAGAAGCGGTGCGCCAGCCAGCGCGAGGCTGTCATCGCAATCGCCGCCGCATGGGTTTTGAATCGCAAGTTGAAGGTGGGTGGCTGGGATGATTGCGCGAGCAGTGGAGGTGACAATTCATTCGTGAGCATGAGCTATTTCTCCGTGTGAAGAAAAAAGAAGGAATTTTAATCTGCCGCCCCGTGGGGCCGGGATTCTCCCCCCTACCCTGGGGATGTGCAGTCCACATGTGGTTTTGCCCATTCGTTCATCCTAATTCTAAATTTATGCCACACCAACCCAGATATGATCGACACATGTCTTCATCCGCGTCACATGATAGCGTGCCCGCGCATTCGTTTATCATCAACAACCGTCAGTTTTCAATAATCTTTTTGTCAACGTAGACGAAGTGCACACGCCTGCGTCGTCGCGCGCGCATGCCCAAATGCGTCAAGGGTTGAAGGTTCCGTGCGGATTTTTGAAGCCGGGTGTCCCGAAACATATTAAACACATGGTCGTGCAACTTTTTATCTCCTTGATTTTTCAACATATGTTTGCGCGTGGGCCCTTTTTGAATTCTTGAGGCAACCATCGTTTTATGGTATATGTCATCAAATACGACTAAACGAGTTTTCGCGCGCGCGTCGAAATCATTCGAACGCCCTTGCGCGCGTGCGGGAGGGGGGGGCACGGTCCCTTCGGCGTGGTCCGTATCGTCACCGTCATGGGCTTTGCCGTCGTTTTCATCGTCGCCAATATCATCATCGTGGCTGCCGTTGCCGACGTCGCCATGATACCGCGCCCGCCCGAATCACCGACTAGCATTGAAAGGCCCGCGCGTACGCGCTGGGAAGTCCCCGGCGGTCAGCGCCACCGCGGCCGCGCCGGTCGCGCCACACTCGGTTGTCGCTCTGTGCGCGAGGTTGAGTTCGCGAGCGACCGCAGCGGCGCGTCAACCAGAGCGAAGCAGTCATCGCAATCGCCGCCGCATGGGTTGTGCAAGCGAAGTTTCACTTGGGTCGGTGCGATGATTGCGCGAGCAGTGGGGCACAGGCTTCGCAGGTCTCACGCAGGTTTCGCGGGTCCCCAGGCCCCACACGTCCCAGCAGGTCCCACAAAACCCGCAGGTGTCGCAAGACGTCCCGCAGGTCCCGCAGGTCCCACAGGTCCCTCAGGTCCCACAGGTCTCACATTTCCCACACGTCCTACAGGTGTCGAAGGTCCCACGGGTCCCACGGAGGTCCCTCAGGCCGTGCAAGTCCCACACGTCCCACGTCCAACAGGTGTCGCAGGTGTCACAGGTCCCACAAAGATCCCCCATGTCCCACATGTCCCGCAGGCCCCGCCGATCCCACAGGTCCCACAAGTTTCACACGTTACGCATGTTTCAGTGTCCGCGTCCCACATGTCCCGCAGGTCTCGCGGGTCCCAAGTCCCACTTGTTCCACAGGTCCCACAGGTCCCACAGGTCCCACAGGTGCAGCACGTCCCACAGGTCCCACAAATCCCACAGTTGTCGCAGGTTTTTCAGGCCCTGCAGGCCGCATAGGCCCCCCAGGCCGCACAGGTCCCACAAGTCCCACATGTCCCATATGCCACAACACTTCAACAGGTTTTAAAACACATCGCATCAGTCCCACAATTCCCGCCTGCCCCGCAGGTCCCACAAGTCACCACTGCTGCGGTTGCTTTGCTGGGGTAGTGGGGTTCCAGGTCGGCCATGATACGCGTCCGCGGATAGAGAGACATCAATGCAGTGGGAATGGATGGGAAGAAACGATATGATGACAGATGTGACGCGAACGCACCTAGCTTGCTTCCTCCTCCCCTCTCCTCCTTCGCGGGAAGGCGCCTCGGCGGCGCCTGTGCCGCAATCCCGCAGGTCGCGGTGCACTTCCGCGTCGCGAAGTTCTTGTCCAACCATTGCCTCCACGACCCGGGGGGCGCAGGAGTGAGCGAGGACGAGGAGGGCGCGGGGGACCGAGGGGAGGGGAAGGACGGTGCGGGGGAAGAGGGGGACGGAGGACGGGGACTGAGGAGGGGGGAGGAGGAGGAGGAGGAGGAGGAGGATGAGGAGGAGGAGGGGGAGGAGGAGGAAGAGGAGGAGGAGGAGGAGGAGGAGAGGAGGAGGAGGAGGATGAGGAGGTGGAGGTGGACGAGGAGGAGGAGTAGGAGGAGAGGAGGAGAAGGGGGCGGTGGAGGAGGAGGAGGAGGCGGAGGAGGAGGAGGAGAAGGAGGCGGAGGAGGCGGAGGGGGAGGAGGAGGAGGAGGATGAGGAGGAGGAGGAGGAGGAGGAGGAGAAAGAAGAGGAGGAGGATGAGGAGGAGGAGGCGGAGGCGGAGGAGGAGGAGGAGGAGGAGAAGGAGGAGGAGGAGGAGGAGGAGGAATAGGAGGAGGAGGGGGAGGAGGAGGAGGAGGAGGAGGAGGAGGAGGAGGAGGAAGAGGAGGACCAGTGTAAGCCCAACATTCAGCAACGCTGTTGCAACAAATCCGCCCCCCAAGTTCCCCCTTCATGGGCCCCTACAGAGGTTCATTTTCATTGAGGGGTGTGCCCCGTTGGAAGGCAACCGTTTGAAAATCCAGAATTGTGTCAGAACACCATTCTTTCTTTTTCAACGCAGCGAGTCACAGTTACTACCGCGTCTTGACGAATTTGAGCCGTGCCATAACACCATCCCTGGGACTTCAGCACCGTGAATCAACGTGACCATTGCGCCCTGATTTTCCGACATCGTTCCAACACACAATTTCTGGGACGTTTACCATGCTAATCTTTGAAACGGTTGCGAGCTCGTTAGACGAACGAGCGCGGTGCTAAGGCGAGAGCCACATTTTGAAAATGAGTTGTCCTCCATCCGTGAAGCTCTTGCAAACTTTTGCGACGAATGTGCGTGACGCTAAGGCGGGAGCCTCCATCATTTTGAAAACGCACCGTCCTCCATCCGTGAAGCTATTGCAAATTGTAATCTTCAGAGTCGCAAGCCGGTGAGGAAGTCTCAAGCGAAACGCCCGGCCCGCCCTTCCGACAAGCCTCAGGGTGCGACAGGGAGGAGTTTATATTCCTAAGGGATGGATGGAGGAGGAAGAGGAGGAGGAGGAACATGAGGAGGAGGAGAAGGAAGAGGAGTAGGAGGAGGATGACGAAGGAGGGTCTACGCAGACAGTGCAGAGAAGGGATGAAAATGGGGAGGAGAAGGATGAGGATGAGGATGCTGCTGCTGCTGATGATGATGATGATGATGATGGTGATGGTGGTGGTGATGGTGATGGTAATGTCGGTGGTGGTGATGATGACGATGATGATGATGATGAGGAGGAGGAGGAGGAAGAGGAACAGGATGAGCAGGAGGCGGACGAGAAGGAGGAGGAGGACCAGTGTAAGCTCACTGCTCATCAACGATATTGCATTAAACCCTCCCTCTAAGCTCCCTCGTCATAGGCCCCATACAAGGGTTCAATTTTACTGACGAAAGTGCCCCGTTGGGAGACGATCTTTTGAAGATCCTGAAGCGTGCCGAACCTCATTCTCGGGACTCCAACGCCACGAATCAACCTGACTGTTGCGTCTCGACGGTCTCGAATCGTGCCAGAGCGCCGTTCTTGGGACTTCAGCACCGCGAATCCGCGGAACCGTTGCGCCCTGGCAATCCTGAGCCGCTCCAGCAAGTTGTTTCCGGCATGGGAAGTCGTGAAAATCTTGCGAACGTTGAAGACGAATCTGCGCGGCGCTAAGGCGAGAGCTACATTTTGAAAAGGCGCCGCCGTCAATCAGTGGAACTCCTGCAAATCTAAAGGCCGCCGCCTCTGCCGCCGACCCCAAAGTCGGCCTTCAGGTTTTTCGAGGGGCATCGTCTGGAGAGAGGCATCCGCTCTCGGAGCTGTCTTGGGGGTTCTCGTGGCATTCTTGACCTCGCTTGGAGCACTCGTAACGGCGAGGAGCTGCCGGTTGGGGGGTCCCAAAAACAGAGGTCCCAGAACCTGAAGGGGTCGGGGTCCCAAGGATAAATGTACCAGGGCGTGAGGGTGCCGGGCGAGGTGGAGGCGTTGGGACGATCTGGTGGGGAGTCGGGGTCGGTTCCAGACCAGGAATTGTCGGGCGTGTATTCGAATGCGTTTCGAATTCTTCCTCTAGCAAGGACTTGGAAACACCGACAGAAAAAGACCCTGCTGGGCCATATCAGTTGGCAGGGAGACTTCCTGGAACTCGGTATCATAAACAACGCACAGTGGTGTGACACCTGGGACATGGCCGGCGGATGGACACACCAAGGGCTCTATCGACCGCGACTTGCTTTTACAACTCCTGAGTGGATATTAGAGTTACAGGTGCGAAGTGAAGCCATCTCCACCTTTTCGTGGTACAACTCATCGCCAACGCGTGAAGCCGTTGCTGTTCAAACGCCATGATGGACCCATGGAGTCTGAGGGATTGCTCAGCTGCGGCCGCCAGTTGCATAAGAGGGGGTCCCTCCTTCTTTCCCCATTCAGAGCTTTCGTGGAGCCAGGACTGTTTGGAGTGAGCGCGTGCTTGCGCTCCTCTTGCCTATGTTTTGTCGTTTAATCACGACTGCCTGGAAGTGAGCGCGCCCGTGACCACGCTCCTTCAGCCAGGTTTTTGTTAGGGATTTATGCCCTGGCTTGGCTTCACTGGCGCGGACACGCGACGCTACCAATCTGTCTGCCGGATGCGGGAGCAGCCCCGTGAGCGTCGTTCAGGGCTTTTTGGGCCGCCCCCCGGCCTGCCCAGCACAAACTGTATTTTTTCAGCTTGCCTCAGCCCTGTTGCACTACTGTGTTAAGTTGGTTGGGTTATGGCAGGAGGAGGAGGAGGAGGAGGAGGAGGAGGAGGAGGAGGAGGAGGAGGAGGAGCAGCAGGGGGAGGAGGAGGAGGAGGATGAGGAGGAGGAGGGGGAAGAGGAGGAGAAAAAGGAGGAGGAGGAGGAGGCGGGGAGCAGGAGGAGGAGGAAGAGGAGGAGGAGGAGGAGGAGGAGGAGGAGGAGGAGGAAAGGGATGATGATGATGATGATGAGGAGGAGGAGGAGGCGGAGGAGGCGGAGGAGGCGGAGGAGGAGGAGGACGAGGAAGCGGAGAAGGAGGTGGAGGGGGAAGGGGAGGATTTTGACGAACAGGTTGATGATGATGATGATGATGATGATGATGATGAAGTTGATGATGATGCTGCTGATGATGATGCTGATGAACATGATGATGATGATGCTGATGATGATGACGACGATGCTGATGATGATGCTGCTGATGATGATGCTGCTGATGATGATGTTGATGCTACCGATGATGATGATGAGGATGCTGCTGCTGATGATGATGATGATGATGATGATTATGTTGATGCTACTGATGATGATGATGCTGATGATGATGATGGTGATGGTGGTGGTGTTGACTGATGCTCATGATGATGATGATGCTGATGATGATGACGATGATGATAATGCTGATGATGATGCTGCTGCTGATGATGATGATGATGACGATGTTAATGCTGATGATGACAAGGATTATGATGATGCTGATACTGATGATGATGCTGCTGATGATGATGGTGATGATGATGATGCTGATGATGATGATGCTGATGCTGATGATGATGATGATGATGATGATTATGATGATGATGATGATGATGATGATGATGATGATGATGATGATGATGATGATGATGATGATGATGATGATGATGATGATGATGATGATGATGATGATGATGATGATGATGATGATGATGATGATGATGATGAGGAGGAGGAGGATGATGATGCTGATGATGCTGATGCTGATGCTGCGCTGATGCTGCTGCTGCTGCTGATGATGATGATGATGATGATGGTGATGGTGATGGTGATGATGGTGATGATGATGATGATGATGATGATGATGATGATGATGATGATGATGATGATGATGATGATGATGATGATGCTGATGATGATGATGGTGGTGGTGGCGATGATGACGATGAGGAAGAGAAGGAGGACGAGGAACATGATGATCAGGAGGCGGACGAGGGGGGAGGAGGAGGAGGAGGAGGAGGAGGAGGAGGAGGAGGAGGAGGAGGAGGAGGAGGAGGAGGAGAGGAGGAGGAGGAGGAGGAGGAGGAGGAGGACCTTTTTGGACCTTTTGCACAGCACAGCGTGCTAAAAAAAGGGGAGGAGGGGAAAACAGAGGGAGGAGGCCAAGCACCTGCACCCAAGGTGGCTACTCCGTAGCAGCCACCCCCAGCGCCTCCTCCTCCCCGCAAGGGGGGGAGGGCGCGTGGGAGGGTACAGGGCTTGCCCTCCTGGCACGCTGTGCTGTCTCCACGGCGACGCACGCGTCCACTAACCTCGCATGCGAAATCGCTTGCGAGGCCTTAGAAGGCCCCGCATAGCTCGGAAACAGCCCGCGTTTAATTCGGCCGAGATTCTCTCGGCCTTTGCGAGTGGGGGGCCCGCAACCTTCGGCCAAATGGCGACCGTCAACGGTCGCGGTCCGACCACATCTGAAACAAAAATGCAAGGAATGCAAGTCCCAGAATCCCAGACGGTGGGAGGGGTCGAGCTCCAGCCCACCAACAGCGACGCCACAACGAGCCGCGGCCACCACGTCCCGAGGGAAACCAGGAGGGACGACCAGCGGCGAAAAGCACTCCGTCTTCAGGGCCTCTAAGAGGCCCTGTCGGGACGAAAGAACAGAGCACAGATGGCACCTGAAACGGGACCCGACAGGAATAAACCTGTGAGAGCTGGCCCTGGCCGCGTGCTCGAGGCGTCGGGTCTCGGCGGTCTTCGGCCTAGGCCGCTCGATCTCCGTCGGGGCCTTGGCACGCTTGGGGTCCGCCGAAGAGGCGTCCGCCAAAGCCCGCCGAGCCCTTCGACGCACCAGGGCAGCGGTGAGGTCCCAGGCGTCTGTGGCGGGGACAACCTGGGCGGCCAAAGTCCAGGATCGTTCAGCGGCTTCAGAAGCCGCTTCGTCGGCTAACTGATTACCACTGGCAAGAAAAACTTCGTGATGGGAGAGAGAGGAGTCGTCAGGGGACAGGTGCGAGGGCGTCCATTCGACCGAGACGTGCCCTGGGCCTCGGTCGTCGATGGCGCAGCGAATTCGCAGCCACAAATCGCTGTTCCTCCCCCCCAAGCTCCAAGGTCGGCCCCGACTCCACCCCGTCATGAGAGGCTTGTGGTCCGTCACAAAATGGACAGGACCAGTAGTGCTTTCCAGAAAAAGAGCGAAAGCCTGTAGCTCCGACCTGGGCACCGTTTGCGAGGGGCCTCGCAAAATCTCGGAGATGCCCCCCAAGACGGCCCAACGCAAAGGTCCCTCCCCAGGTCTCGCGTCCCTGACCACAACTACAGCGGAGCCACAACGACGGCGACGAGGGTCGGACGAAAAGCGTCCTCCAGATCCGTCCCCGAAGCCGACCAACGGGCTGCTGCCAGGGTCTCTAGAGCAGGCTCCAAGAGGGACCTCACCAAGTTGGGCTCTGCTTAGGCTCTCCAACGGCTCCCTGAAAACAGGGTGGGTGACACGGGTAGGCGGAACACCTCTCAGCCAAAGGCTTGGTTCAGATTCAACAGACGCTAACGCTTGCGGAATCAAATGATCAGTAGACGTGAAATCACTGTGATCTTTATTGCAGGGGCAATGCCAGATGCGATGCGCAAGAGTTTCTTCCTCCTGCTGGCATCGCGGACACAGGCGGTCAGCGGCCTCACTCAGAGGGTGCTGCCTGTCCATCGTCCACTGGGCGCCCGTGACCACGCACAAGTTGAGGCCGAACAGGTCGAGCTCCCCCTTCTTGGCGAAGTGGCTGAGCTCCAGCCTGGCCCAATAGAGGCCCGCTCCCTCAGCCAGGCCATCACCTGCCATGTGCTTCGACGCATTGCTCCAAAGCTGAGCGCGAAAATCAGTGACCACGTCGTCCAGCAGCTCGGAGATGTCGAACCCAGTGGGGTCGTAGCTTGCACGTCGTGCTGTTGGGATCAGCCACTCCTCGATTCCTCCGACAGTGGGCCTCCTCCAACGTAGAACTGAGGGTACTTCCCATCCCGCGTCAAGCAAAGTCGCAATAACAGCTCCAATCGGTCCTTTGACCAGTCTCCATCTTTTGTTGGCGCCAACTGCGAGAAGCCGCCGATGAATAACAGTCCAAGCATTTTCAACTCGATGGTGAATGCTGGTGTCGGTCTTCCAGAGACAGAGAAATTCTGAAAGTAGGCCCCGTCGTAACTCCAGGGCTGGATCCTTGAGACCGTAAAGGACCGCCAGTGTTGTCGTAAGACACCTGCCCTTCATGGGCCCAGCTCCAGCCAAGGCTGCCTGCCGCCTGACGGCGAGGACGTTGGACGGTGACATGCCATGGGCCTGGTGCCCGTAGGAGCCTTGAGGAGCTGCGCCTGTGGTCCAAAGACCCTGAGCTTCACGCCGTAGAGGAGCATGTCTGCGTATGCGGGCAATGCGAGCCGCCCTCTTCCTGCTGGCAACCAACCTCATTCTGGCCTTAGCGACTGTGCGCCGTTTGCCAGAGGCTGCGTCGATGCCGAGATCCGTGCCGTGAAGACCGAACCGTGCAGGGATACCCCGCTTCTGCAATTGAGCGGCTGTCCTCCTCCCGTCCTGCGGAACGGTGGCAATGAGCACAGACTTGTCCGAAAGCTTGAGACGGAACTGCTTGGCGAGGTCGGCCAGCGTGACCGTAGCGTGAAGGATCTCTGTCTGGACCTTGGCCTGCGTGCCCTCTGCGCGGGCCACAGTGTCATCGATGAAGGTCCAGAAGGTGCTGAAACTCGCTCTGCGATGTGCCGCCTCCATCAATGGATGTAAAAACAACTTGGCAATCCTTACCCCATGCGGGGATCCTGCAACAAGTGACCTGGTGGCGTAGATGGCGTCTGTAACGCCAAGAGAGCCACGCAGGAACCGCGGCCCAGCGCACATCTCCAACTCCAGTAACACCACAATCGCTGGGAACTTGAGGTCGAGTGCAGCCTGGCCGAGGAGGACCCAGGACAACGAGTCGTAGAACTTCTCGAAGTCCAGGAGGAGGGTCGCCGCCGAGATGCCAAGCGCCACTGCGGATTCATCGAGCAGCGCTCGCAAGAGTCCTGCTCGAAGCGAGCTGCTGCCCGCCACTGCAGTGTCCCAGAAATCAGAGAGCTCCTTAGTCCATGTGGACGTGACGCCTGCTCTCACGCGGGACCATATCTTTGCCGTCTCTGGAAGTAATCCAATGACCCTCTCTCCTCCTTTGGGTTTGGGTAATAATGCTCCAATAGATGCCAAGATCTGAGCAGCCACACTCCATGTTCTTCAATACTGTTGAGAAGCCTGCAGTAATCACACCGACCTTCGAGTGGGAGTCGCTGGATGTCCAGCGGTGTGATGGAGTCCACTCCGCATGCCTTGGTGCCTAAGACCCTGATAACATTGTCCACCTGCTCGATGCTGACTGGATCCAGCTCCTCCTCGCGGCTCTGCGCGTGCAGGCGCTTGAACATGGCGAGGATGTCGGCCTGAGAGTCGA